AAATAGTCTGAGCCTAACTAAGATATAACTAAGAATCATGCACTGCAAACCAAGCAGCCCACACAGCCACCAAATCCATTCCTCTAACTGCCCCCTTGAATGAAAAACAGTTACGTAATAGAGTTAACCATGCACGTGCTAACTTAGGAGCACATCAACATTAAGCTGTATCATACCTACTCTCTCCTCCCTTAGGGTGTAAAGGATGTCGCCTGGAACGGACAGAGCCATGTCAATTCCATGATCCTCAACTGTCATTCAAACTGACAACTTCAGAAAACCACAACAATAACACAAACAATAAAAACGTAAATTTGCCGAATGCGGTCGAATCGTTTCCAAACGAAGTGGGCTTGTGCATTTCCAGTATTCCTGGGGCGGGCTACGGAGTCTGCGCAAAACAGATCATTCCAGTGGGTACGTGGATTGGACCATATGAGGGGGAACTGGTGCGGCCTGAGGAGGTGGTGCTTGGATGTGATGCGTCATACATGTGGGAGGTAGACTTGGTTTATCTACGATTTAACTGACGATTGAGTAATATATATACGATGGCCTCTATTTGGCGCCAAAATACGCATGGATACTTATCCGCGGACACTACATGGAAAGTTCACTTTTCAGTGTTCTCTGATACAATTTTATGAACAAAATTACATATTCCTTCTTTTAGCTTATGTAACAACCACACGACGCTTTCTCATCTTGAAATGAATTTTGAGCGCAGAGTTTTCCGTATTGGACGTGAGGTTTGAAAATTGGGGAAGTACATCTATATTCAGGGTTATCTTCGTATTTGATGAACATTAAGCAAATAATCCCTTGAGATTCGCGTTAGGGTGATGCACAAAATGTTAAGTGGCAAATTTGAAGCGTTTCCCATTAAATGTTTTGTACTTTTCTTAAGAATAAGCTGTAGAAGAACATATGCTAAGTAAGGGCCGCAGATAAGTTTAATGTATTGAAATTCAGGAATTTTTAGACCTGCAAGATCGCTTTGGCTGTATAAACATATGACTCCGATAGAGCTAGGTTTAACTTCATTTAAGTCCTTAAGTTAATTTTACGCGTTTTATCAATCATTTTTCGACAGATATTTCATGAGGGAAAGTTGCTATATTACATCGACGGGAGCAATGAGAACAAGTCCAGCTGGATGAGATACATTAGATGCGCAAGGAATGGAACCGAGCAAAACATGTACGCTTTCCAGTACTGCGGTAACATTTACTACAGAGCCTTCAGGGACATCCCCACGGGCGGCGAACTGCTGGTTTGGTATGATGAAAAGTACCCACAATATATGGGCATTCCCCTAGAAATATGCGAAATATCCTTCAGTAATCCTGTTGGTAAGAATACTTCGTATAATGGCAACTATACTTAGTAAGTCCGCTACCAACATAGAGAATTTCCTAGGAATTATTTTGCTGGATGTGGAGAAGTTGTGTACGTACAGTCTTGCATAACGTCTTCATCTTCATTCGTCATCTTCAAGATTTTCGTGTTCTTGCAAAATGTAAGTGCAAAACCATTTAACGGATGACTTAGCACGTAATACTTGCATTGATAAAACATAAATTTATATTTTCTATTTTAAAAACATCATGTTTCCTGTGAATGAAAAATACCCTGTAAAGTCATCGAAATACAGTAACTCTCCTTGCATACAGTTCTCAGACATCTTCTTGTGTGTGTTCTTGATACAGATCAAAGACAGCATCCCGAAATGGTCGTTGTAATTCCACATGATAATCCCAATCCAGGTTCCTGCCATTCAAAGGAGTCTTCATCCAGTCCCTGGAAGGATAATCTACAATTCACAACCAGAGTCAGATCCATATTACCGTCACGTGAACAATCACGTGTCAAACGGTGCTTATCTAATAACACTTCTAATAGAGGCGAAAGTCTGCGTGCATATGCTGAGGAATATAAACGTGTCCGCCATGTTTCCTGGACAGCCGATGGTACGCCATTACAAACCAGTGCGCAAATGACTGAAAATTCTCTTTCTTCGGAAGAAGCCCGAAGTAAGCCTGTAAGTCCAGTTCAACATTTTGGATTAAAGAGCGTACATGTGCAAAAGATTCCAAACAATAACCGTCGTGACCTCAAGTCTTCTGGGGGAAAATACAGTAACGGCTCAAAAATGGCGCCGTCAAGCATAGACGAGAAGCATGCGCAGCTACGGTCTACTGATGAAGATGAAATCAGTTCGGATGGTTCCGATGCGAACTTTTTCAACTGCGGTCAGTGTGGGAAATCATTTGCTCAACGCTCGGTGCTTCAGATTCACGTATGCCCCAACATGCCACGCAAGCCCTATCACTGTGGACAGTGCTCTCAGACATTTGATCATCCAAACGAGCTGCGCACGCATGCTGTCATTCATGTGGGCGAGAAGCCATTCAAGTGTGGTTATTGTTCACGATCATTCGCAGGTGCAACAACTCTTCATAACCACGTGCGCACACACACCGGTGAAAAACCTTTTTTATGCGAGAGATGTGGAAAGAACTTTACTCAGGCATCCCAGCTTCACAAGCACGAGAATATACCCGGGGATTGTGTTCGATATGATGCCCTGCCTGACTGAAAGATTGCTAGCAATCTGGCTCTCTTTTTATGAAGCTCATAGTTAGTGTTCATCATACATTTTTTAGTTGATAAGATAAATTATTTCGCAAAAAATCGATTCAAAGATTGCTTAGGGAAAGGTTTTGTGTGACAGTAGCAAAAAATAAAGATGTCTCGTTGTAATTGAAAAAAAGAAAAACAAGTCCATTCATTTCTTTTCCCGAAAATTTCAATCCAGAATTATTCGTCCGTCTCAAATCTGATAGAGGATGTCTTCTCTTGTTAAATTGCGTAGGCATAGCAATAACGTCGTGAAACAAAATGTTCTTTTCTCATTGTTATATTTGAAACGCACACCTCAATGGCTTTTACCACGAGTAACTGTTTGACGTTAGCAACAAATGAAAATAAATTTTTGCTGTTGGTGGCATTTTTCTCAAGATATATCTTTATGACTTAAATAGAGGTGAACATTACTTTGAGCAAATGTTGAAATTCCGCAGCAGTGCCTGATAATAGCACTATCTCTTCATTTATTTTGTTTTTCCTAATAATAAATAAGCGCAAAAATAGTTTGCGCACAGACAAGGAAAATAGCAATCGGAAACAGTGACGGATATCAGCGGAAGCGAGGATGATGATGACGCACTTCCCTTTACGTTATATCCCAATTTGCCCCAAAAATTTGCGGGGGTGAGAACGATGTAAGGAGTTTGAGTGGCTTCCCACGGTTTCCCTCCATCCCTGATTGTTCTATAAAAAAAAAAACAAGCTTTGAGGACTTCTTGGTCACGTCTCAAGAAGAACTGACAGAAAACGAAAACAAAGATCTCCTTTCTCTTGTAAACCCCCGTTTTGTCTGTTACGCAGATAAGAATATTTTCAGGCTTCTCTGTTTTCTCTTTGAAGAGCCTGGATCGCCACTTCTACATTCATATTAAAATGCGACGCTGTAATTAAACATGAAGTCAGTTGTGCATATCTCACAGCAAATAAATGAGCAACTCCAAGAGATTTATCATTGTTTTCGTCAATTCTATTCAGAAAAATCAGTGAACTGTTTAGGATCATTGTGAAGTTATTGCTATTTATTTCAAACAGAAAAACATCAAATTTCCGTGTCATTCCTACCTTCTGTTTCGGCTAAAATCTGAAGTATATACGAGTTCGATTTGCGATGTTAAACTGAATGCAAAACGAGAAGGCTCGGTCATTTAGTTCCAACACTGAGAAAAGATACGTGGCTGTTTAGAAATCAATGAAACATGACGGCTTTCAAGGTGAAGGTTGGGGTGGGGCTCTTCAAACTCCGAAGGAAGAGAGAGAGAGAGAGAGAGAGAGTTAAGGACAACGACAAAACGCTTTGAATAAAGATTAACTTTTTATACTTGACCCAAACGAAGAAATTCTTGTCAAAAGACTGAAGTATGGGCGATTTTAATTGTGCAATTCTTGGGCAAAAAATGTTCCGCCGACTGAGCAAGATGTTTTTATCTGCGCTAGGTGGTAGAATCACGATTGCCACAGGCGGACAGATAAAAATCTTTTTATTTTACGCCTGCTAAATTAAGGTTTATGTAAATAGTCGGCGTTCTTGAGAGCGTATTCACAAATTGCCAAACAAATTATCCCTCAATTATAATCACAGAAGCATATGTTTCTTCTCTCAATCCAGAACTCGTTAGTTTTTTTCATGGCATTGCGTTTGACGTTGTGTAAGGCTGAAACAAAGCTGTGAACATGGAAATCAGAAACACGAGTCATAGAAAACTTATGCTTAAAGGTTGACGAAATTTGAAAAATTGAGGAAAACTTCGTGTAATAGAGTGCGCTGAAACACGTTTCGACATTTCGCTAGCGAGATCTCGCGCGAAACAGATATTGTGCGCGTGTCTTCCAGATTAACAGGATACTAGTGGTCTGGCAATTATATGTAGGAGGATTGTTGGTAATTCTGTTTCAATATTCAGATGAAAATGGAGACTACAGATAGTTTGTGTGGGATGAAGCCTTTCATTTTCAAAAACAATTAGTGCGAGCATCAACTTCCTTCCGTATGTACAATTTTCCATCTCGTAAAAGTGCTAACATTTTTGTCACGTTGTGAAAACTTCTGGATATTTACATTTTTTACGATACGTGATTACAGTTACGACTTCCTACATTTCTTCTTAAACATAAAACTCGATGTTGCTTTAGCTCTTTTGTATCGTCCCTACCCGCTTTCCCGAACGAATCACCTGTGTTTTCCTTTTAGGATGAATCACATGAAAATCTACAAACTTTGCCGCTAAGATCAGGTGACAAGATCTGAGCTATGAGCTCTCTTAAGGAACACTCAAAGTTTTAAAAACATTCAGATGAAGGTGAATTGTTTTCATTCTCTTCACACCCGTACCACACAGTCTCCAGGTATTCTCTGATGTCTGCTGAGCTGTGATCCTTGTGTAAAGTTCTTGCCGCACTTGTCGCAGACAAAGGGGCGTTCACCTGTGTGTGTTCTGATGTGGTTGTTCAATGTGGTCGCCCCTGCAAAAGCACGCGAACAGTAGCCGCACTTGAATGGTTTCTTGCTTGCGTGAATGACAGCATGCCCGCGTAGCTGAGCTGGGTGGGCGAAGCTCAGTGAACAGTGACCGCACTGGTATGGCTTCTTTGGGGCTTCATGGCACACATGAACCTGGAGCATGGTTCTTTGAGGGAAGGACTTTTTGCACTGGCCGCATTTCCACAAACTTAGTTCTGTTATGTTACTGAACGCGGGCTGATTGATTTTAGTGGCGTTGATCTGCCTGTCTTCACAAGAAGCTGGTGAGGGAGAATTGCTCCTCTCACTCTCTGGCGATGGCAGTGGATTGGAAAAGTTGGCTGCAGTGACAGAGGAAAAGTCGAAGGCGGAGGGCACTTCGCTCTGAAAACCATTCAAAGGCTCTCCACTGATTGGCATAGAAGGTGAATGTTGCTGGAGGCCGATTGGCTGGCTGTTTGGTGATGGCGGGCTTCCAGGAGAAGGTACTGAGCTGGGAGGAGTAGGAGGGTACTGATTTTGTGTCGAGGTCTCGGACGGCAAGCGCACAATTTCTGATGCTTCTGGATTATTTGACTTCCCTAGAGAAATTACAAAACAAAGAACGTCTCAATTTCCCTTTAACCTCAACAAAACCGTCGCCACGAATCGCAGAAATTATCAGCCACTGCATAAAACATAGCTGAAATCTTACCTTTGACTGTAAGAGAGCCCAAATCAAAGACCGAGCTCGGAACGCCAAGGTACTGTGGATATTTATCATCGTACCACACCAACATTTCTTGTCCGGGCTGAATAGTCTTAAATGAACGATAGTAGACCTTACCCAAGAACTGGAAGGCAAAAAGGTTTTGTTCTCCTTTGTGGCGAGCACAGCGGATGAACCGCATCCAGCTGGAAACCTTTTCATCGCTGCCGTCCACAAATCCAACCAGTTTACCGTCTTTGAAGATCTGTTAACGTAAACAGAGAAATGAACAACACAATCTCCATACACACACACACACACACAAAAACAAAACAAAACAAAACAAAATATGATCATTCAACTTTCCTACCTCCCACATGTAAGATGTGTCTGTAACAGAAGAAATTTCCTCGAGCTTCACAAACTTTCCCTCGTAAGGACCTATCCATGCCCCAATCGGAATTGTTTGCTCGGCACAAACTCCATATCCTGCCCCGGGAATGCTGGATGCACACAGACCAACTTCCGGCGGAAATGATCTTAAAGCGAGAGGCAATTGACTTGTCTGTTTCGCGGCAGTGGTTTCACGTTTATGATTTGGGCAGTTAAAGCCTGGGTCTGTCTTGCTTGCATCACACCCTGAGAGAAGAATAATAAACATTCGATATTGCCATGTTTCATAAAATAATAGAGAATGGATTAAGTCATATTAGCGCTACGCACGCAAAATCACGGTTAAAAAAAAATTAAGTAACCTTGCAATGTCGATAGCTGTTCAAAGTCTTTTCATTCAAAATAAGAACACAAGCATTATTGTGAGATTTTGATGCTGTTACAGGATGTATCGAAGGAACAGAAAACATCTTGCGAACTTTCTTTTTTCCTTTTTTTTTTTTCAAAATCATCTAACGCATCATTTCGCGCAAGCAATTCAAGCACGAAACACTTACAAAAACAACCCGCTGCATCTTTTTGTCCTAAAATTTCACGGGTGTTAACTGGATGAACAGTGGATACGTGAAATAGGCACTTCTGCACATCAGCCATAGAGAAAGAAAACTGTTTCAAGTTCGAAACTGATGCGCTTTTGGAGGAAGGAGTTGACATCTTCGCTTTCTTGGTCACGGGCTGATAAAAACTGTTAGCGCTTTCTACCCCAAAAGGTTTGTTCATTTTTCGCGTCTGCAAAAAATAAAACAAAGTTTGCATTAGATAGAATTCAAGAACGAAAACATTCAAACTTCCATTACAGAAAAAATAAAAAATAAAATCAAGAAGAAAATGTCAAGGCCGGATGAGGAAACAATATAGTGTGTTTGTCCCGTGCGATTCAATTCAATGATCACATGACAGTCGCAATATTGCTTTCAAGATCGCTGACAGAAATCAGAAGTCTATTAAGTTTGACTAAACTTGGTGAGCGACATTAACTCTTAACTCTGTCCGTGATTCATTGACTCCACAGTAATTATTCACAAATACCTCATTTCCGAAAGCACCGAAGCAGATCCGTTTTTCGGCTTAATGAACTATAGTCATTGTTCCAAGCTGTTAGCAAGAATTTTTAGAAATTCTGTTTCTTTTCTAAACCATGACCATCTGTTTACCTACGAGAACACTGAAAATGAACGGTAACCTTGAAAATTGTTTTTAAGGGTGAAAAAAATATGAGAACCGTCATACAAATTGCACTGGTATTTAGCTATTGTTTTTCCCCTTTAAAAGTTTAGGTTCTTGCATAATGAGATTTGGAAACTCAAATCTTCGAGTTTCAAAGGTGACGTCGTAGAAGAAACCACCAGAAATGTGTTTATCGATTGTCCTACGTTGCTTTGGAACGATTGTTGTCGAAATATCGCCCTCGGACGCTTATATGCGTGGATCAGGGCGAGTTGGTAGGAAACTCAATTCGGTGAGGCGTAACAGGTTTAAACATCAAGAAGGTGAGGAAACGAGAGAAATCAAGAACGGTTCTATACAACGCTACAAGCAAAAATGAGTCCAAACCATTAAAAGAACGAGAGATGCGCAGTGTTTCATGCAACTCCAGCGTTTTTTCCTCCGTTTACTAAAGATTCGTGGAATTGGGGGTTGCGTTCCGATGCATCATTCGACTTCACCCCAAAGTGGGTCGCCCAAAATAAGTTTATTTTAGAGATTGAACCTACCTTGCTTTCAACTTCCATTTGCAATCCTCTTAAATTATCGATCTTCAAGTCTTCTTTAAGTTTGGCGAGTACAGAGTCGTATGCCTCCTCACTCCCTGAGCGCTCTCTTTCCACTCAGTGCGCAAAGTAGACGTGTGATTAGTTTAAAGGACAGAAAACTGATTAATCCGAAGGCGGCGGGTGTTTATTCGCCCGCCTTTTTATGCAAAATTCACATATTTTGACTGAGGACAAAAGTCAATTACCTTCACGGAGAATTACCACAAATAATAAAAATAGAAAACAATAGACTTTAAGCACTTTTCTTCTCATTTTCTCTCAAGGTTAAGCTCAGACACTTTTCATAACATACTGTGAATACAAAACAGCAAGGCTGCAGAGACAGAGCAAAATCTCAATTCAAGCGCAGTGTAGAGTTTATAATCAAGCAAGATATCCAATTTGCTTTATGGCGCCCCTGCAAAGCTGATGTGATCATTGTTCAGCTTAGCTGCTCATGCGGAGAAATGAAGCTGAAGTTTCTATCGTTTCCTGGCTTATCTCTTTCGTTCATCTGTAGATTTCATTTTCGTATTTTGTTTCTGAGCGATTTTGCACGATACCATTCTGCTTTGTCTATATCGGCAAACCCTGCACTTGAACTTTTAGTTCTGGTGCAGAATAAAGACTATTTTAGATTCATTTGGGAATGGGAAAGACAAAGAGAACAAAGGCAACTAAGCGAGGTTAACTAGGACCACATATTCATCAGTGCAACAGTACTGTGCTGAGCTAGGAATCTGTGCAAGAACTCTGGGAAGTCAGCACCCCTTTTCTCCATCAACGTACAAAGGTTTTTTTAACAAATTAATGCCAAGTCAATTTTCTTTAATTCATTCCCTTCAACATCACTAGAAAATGCAAAGGTAATGAGCCATAAAAACAAATAAAGATGAATAAACGCTTTGGTGAACGAGAGAAAAGACAATGATGGTGAATTTTTCTTTAATGAAGATGCCGACAGAGAGGTAAAACTAGGAAAAGAATCAAAACTTGTGCGTAAACATTCTGCAAGCATGTAAAACGTGATCTGACCAAGTCAAACAAGATGTCACCAAAACGCTAAAAGACCTTCAGGCACAATCAACCAGCCAAAAATTTTTATTTGAATACCCAGAATTCTTCTGATAAAATTTCGGGCATGATCGGTCTTCAAAGTTCGCTTGGTCTCCAGACTCTCTCCTCCCTCTCTTTCACGTGAAAATAATCATATTTAGCATATACGTATCACACACTTGTGTGATTAGTCTCCCTCGCAGTCGTTTTTAGTCTCGTCATGCAACGCTTCTCCCCACAAGGGAGGGGAGGAGCGTTGCCTGACGAGTCTAAAAACGGCTGCGAGGGAGACTATTGTGTGATACGTGTGAATGGTGCTTTTTTGTACGCACTCATTGGCTAGTTCGGAAGTGAATAGCAAGCACTAGTCACTTCCACTTCAGTAAATAATTGTTAATGTATTCGAGAACCTTTTGCTTATTATATAAGAGAAAATTATTTGAATAATAATAATAATAATAATAATATTAATAATGATAATGATAATAGTCATAATAGTAATAATGACGATGGTGATAAAATCATTAAAAGTCGGTATTACCGATGAAATCATAAAACTAACATAAGCATTGTTTTCTGACAGTTTCGTTCCTTTCCTCTGTATGTTCCATAGATTATCTATTTTATGCTGGGTTTTTGAAAACGCGAATTTTCAAACAAACTTTTCTGCAAGCTTTTTTATTCGTTACGGTGGCCAATTTACAGTTTCAACTTAGTTGATATAACCAAATTACCTTTTTTGCAGCAAACTGGCTGCTTAAAATTAATGTGTCAGAAGTTCTCAAAATGTGCCAAGAATTCCAAAATAAACTCTCTTCGACAAATTTAATTGTAAGCGGAGATTTAGCTTTTGATGATTGAAATGGGCAGGGTGCTTTTACATTCGCGCGGATTTCTTTGGTGTCTAGAAAGAAGTCCAGGCTGACAAAATGTTTTCCCGCACTTATCACAGCCAAAAGGCTTTTGTCCGAAATGAGATTTAATGTGATTGTTTAGTGTTGTCGCGCCGACAAAAGCGCGCGAACAGAAGCCACATTTAAAAAGTTTTTCACTGGAATGCGACGTGACATGCGCGCGGAGCTGAGAAGAAGAGGAAAAAGCCAAGCTGCACTGGCCACACTGGTAAGGCTTGGATGATTGGCATGGGCAAACATGAATTTGCAGGGCCACCCGCTGAGTGAAGGTCTTGCGACACTGCTGGCACCGCCATGTAGTAAATTCCCTTTCCGGAGAACTTTTGGGAACGGGCACCGGTATATTTCCAGGGTCATTAACGTCACTTTCTACGTCACTGTTAGAAGAGGACCGCTGACCATCTGCATCGCTGTCCGATGATAATTGTCTACGCAATAAACTAGCAGGAGCATACACAGCTTTCCGCTCGGATTTGCTATCCTCTGTCGGCTGTTTTACCATTGGCCGAGAATCTAAAGAACAAACACCAACAGATGTAATGTAAAATATACGATAGCAAATCATCCTTGTAGTCTGTATGCTACATTTTTACTTAAAAAGACATCTGAGGTATTGCACTTGAGATTCACGAGGCGAGTAAACTTTTCTTTAGCCTGTTTCAAATACTCCTGCAAACCATATTGACGATACTACTTGAAAATTTGTAATGAATAATTAACAAACATAACTACCTTCAAAATCTTTTACCAAGGACATGTTCTGATATCCAAACGGTATTCCAAAGTGCTGTAAATATTGTTCATCATACCAGACAAGAAGTTCTTCACCAACGGTAATGTCTTTGAATGACCGATAGTATACGTCGCCCTTGTGCTGAAACGCGTAAAGGTTTTGTTCATCTTTTGAGCGTGCGCACTGGATAAATCGCATCCAACCTGATGTCTCCTCATCACTTCCGTCAATGAAACAAGTTAATTTGCTTCCGGCGAAAATCTAAAAAGTAAAAAACCAAAGGTAGCAAAAACAACAACAGCAACAACAACAACAACAAAAATCAGCCTAAAAAGTCCATGATAACCTTATAAAGTGTCTTCACTTTTTAGAAAATCAGTCTTACGTCTTCGATGCATTTTTCAAGAGGTATACAGACCGTGTTATGCTCAAACAAGTTTCCTGCAAAGGGATCGATATATCTTGACTTGTACAATTTGTTCTGGCACCAAATAAAAGAGTCTTTCCTCCCCTAAAACACTAACGGTTATGTAAATGCGGCTAGACACGAGTAATAAAATTTTCTCCCTCTCCATACAAGAAAACTTATCAGAGAGCTTGAAAAAACGCTGGTGGGTAACCTATGATGGAAAAGCATTTCACCAAGGGAGGGAATAGGGAACGCTGGTGGGTAACCTGTGATGGAGTAGCTGACTCCACCAAGGAATGGGAACTGGTCTCTTCCTAAACAACCGTTGGGATAAACGCCGGCTGTTATAGCATGGTGTCATAGAATTTACTTCTCACAGAGCTTACAATTTTCTTAATTGAAGTACCGGACAATCTTTCGTTTGATCAATACATAACCCACAGGCTTATAGTAAACCTTCAACCGCCAGGCTGTCTGCATAACAATGTATCGGATATGGTAACGCAGTAGACTCCTACCTCCCACATATACGATGTGTCCATGCCTAATTTGACCTCTTCTGGTCGGATTCTCCGGCCTTCAAATGGCCCAATCCAGGTGCCCGCAGGAAGGTGTTTCCTGGTACTAACTCCTAACTCAGTCCCAGGGACACTCGATCTGCAGAAACTCACTTCCGGCGGAAGTGACCTCACAGCTCTGCTCTCTTGCAGAGCTTTGTGGGTTAACATCGAATGGTGCAAACCATGTAAAGGACAAGGTACTGAATATTCTATCTTACAGAGAAAACAACCTGAAAAAAAAAAGGGTATTTTTTTTATTTAACACGCGTTTACGTCTTCAGCGCAAGATTCACGATCCGGAGTAAAAAAAAAAACTTATTTCTTTTGACAGTGTCTCTGGCGGTTGAGTGTCTTTAGCAGACAAAGAAGGGCGTATGAAGTGTTTACTCTTACGGAAGAATGAGAAGATTGGATCCCTCGGGTATTTGCGATGAATTTTGACAACAATTGCACAAAAAAATTCACCTCTTTCAAAAGAACTGCTCGAATTGAGTCCTTGAGATTTTGGGTAACGCGAGCGACACGCCTACAAGCTTCCACAGATAGCGTGATTATTTTCCAAGTGAGGGGTTTCTTACGAAAGACTACTTGAGATAATGGGGTTTGAATGTATAAGAAAACGCACGTACGCAAGCCTATTGAATTAATTTAGCCTTTAGATAGGCCTCAAACTTTTGCATAACAAACACTTCTAAATCGAATATTCTAGAGAGTTCTGTAAGCAAGTTAAAAAGTGTCTAGAAAGGCATTTCTGGCCATTTGCTTTTTGCTTTCTTGATGTCTTCAGCAGTATGGGCTAAACTGCAGAATACCCTGCCACTCATTTACATGTCACTTCATAAGAATAGCCTCTACTGTGTTATCTACGAACCTAATTCATCTCAGTGGGCATCGGAATTCGACTTATTCGTGGTTGCATTTAGAAAACGTTCAACAATAGCGTCCATTTTAAAGGGACGTGTGGTTCCTTGTAGCTTTTCAAAAAATGACGTGCGGTATTTTCAAGCTTTTCAAGACAATGGAAAAAAGGCAGAGGTCACGACTCCAAATGAAACGAAAATTAACCTAAAACAATAGAAATGATATTACAATATCAAGACAAGAGATAGATATCTTTTGATCTTGAACGTAGTCGCTAGTAATAAATGAAAAAAATATTAAATGCACATTCAAAGATGGAACCACTTCAAGGCAAACTGCAAATTGTCCCGAATATCGCACCAGGTTTTACGGGTGACTTTACCTCGTTAAGTTAAAATCACAATTTGATAATGTCTGAACATTTAAGAAAAGTTTTTCAGGACCGGTTTATTATTTTTACTGCGTGAATCATGAGCGTTTTAGAGGGAAGGGTAAGTTTACTTGAAAAGTTGGCAAACACGCTATATCCGGTTTCGTGAGTAATTCTAAATATTTAGTCTTGGGAGCGACTAAGCCTAAAAACAACGGATTTACGAATGAATAAACTTACCTAATTTCTTGTTAAAGCCCTCAAAATTCTGTCTTCGTAGTTTATCTACGTCAACAGACACAGGTTGTTTTCTTTCGTATAAGCAGCTTCTTACAGCGGCAGAGGTAATTGTGTATCGCTTTCTTTCAGACGGAGAGTTCGCCACAAACGCCCTTTTAGTCGAGGAGCGGTCGACCTGAAATAATCGTATTGTTAATTAGATCCGTGATTTAAATGCCTTTAAAAATAAATTGACTTTTTTCTGCCAAGATGGCATGACCCATAAGTTATTAATTATAAGGACATGAATTTTAAATGTTGCATGCGAGAAAACCACGTTTTATGTCCGTAGAAGTTCATAATTAGGAGGGTCAATCTTGTAGAATGTAACATTGTGTAAATTACTGGTAGAGTAAAACGGTGTAAATTGTGTTTGGCGATTGTTCTCTCATTCGAGGGGGACTTCAATTATCAGCGTGATTTTGAGGATCGTAAAATTTGTTTTCATCACAATTGCCGAGAAAGATATATGAATCTCAATAAAACTCACCACAATATTTTACAACTATGGCAGTGTATGAATTAGGATAAGAGATTTAAACACTGCCCATTGCACCAAGTTATTTGTTTCAGTGTCCCAAAATACCTTTAGACATTGCTTGTCGGGTAAGAGTTCCTTGTCCTCTGGTGAGGAGGTCAGTGTCCACACTTCTTGAAAGATTGCTCTTTTTTCCGCTGGTCTAGGTGTCAAACTACTATTCAAAACTAACCAAACTACGAATACTGTATAACAACTTGGCAATTTTATAGACAATACTCACCAACTCATGCTGGTTTGACCTCTTCATCTCTTCAAAGTGCTCAAATATCGAAGTGTCTCGGCTCCCTATCTTAAATGAACCGTAAGCTATAGTAACAGGTGATGACTACACCAGTAACAGCTTATTTGTTGTTACTACCTTCTGCCCAACACTGACAGAGAAGAATCTGCGAGCAGATTCTAGAATCAATGATCAGCCCATCGCACGTGAATCACAGATTTGGTCTTGGCAAGAATCTGATTGGATAATTATCTTTCTGGTTGCTGATTGTTCATTATTCGTGCTCACTGAGATTTTAAGAGACAAGAGAATACTGAATCATTGATGAACGAGTTGTGCATAACATTTGTCTTTGAACCTACATCTGCTCTGTTCGATTCCGACAAAAAGTCATCGCTTCCGCCTTTTTCGAAACCCATCCCCAAAAAGTGGAGTTCATTTGTTTGTTTCTTTTTTTGGAAAAGAATTGTCAAAAGAAATTCACTTCACACGAACACAAAGTTCTTGAGGCACTCAACCATATCTGAAATGTTAATACGTGGATCATTTCAGCGACGATGCTCAACTTAAATTTGTCGGCAGGCGCTATTTTTGCGTTTGAAGGAATCTTTTTTTCAGTTGGCCTTCTCTCTTACGCGCGGTGTCATGGCTGGAAAGAGAGGTATCTGATGGGTAGTGTTTAATCTGCGCATGGAAAGTGCTGCTTAGAAGCCATTTATTCAAGGTCTGCGAAAAATTGAGCTCTGCCGTAAAATTGATAAACCATTACACTCCGATTATCAACATAGAAGCAGCGGAGCGAAAAAATGAGCGAGGTTTGGATGGTTGACCAGTCGATCAACCGACCCGACCCAAGCTCCCTCTTTCTTTCGGGAAAGAGTTCCATATAACCCCATACATTAATTATGCATTCATTTCATAAAGACTAAATATAAAGGTTTCTTTGCAACACTCTATGCATAATTAATGTATGGGGTTATGGAACTCTTGCCTTTTTTCGCTTCACTCTTACTACTACTCCATTTGCTACTGCGTTCGTTAAATATATCATGAAAGGTCAAACTAAACAAACTAAAACGAAAAAAGGACACGCCTATGTATTTTTACAAACAGAATTTATGACCGCAAAATAATTACATAATAAAACAGCGAAAATTGCATTCGTCTAGTTATTTGAATTACTTGTGTACTCAAAGAATGTTAAGAAAGTAAAAATACTTTATTAATTTACATTAATCCGAGAGCTATTCATAATCAAATCCGTCTGCGTCTTCGTTTCCTGTTTTAGATTGATAAAAACTGGCACCGCATTGTCTATGGTGGCATGTTGAGCTTGGCCGCCCTTCCTACTGCAGACTTGGCTGTAATCATTCAGGACGAGTCTTTGTGTCAGTAAACAACAGAATACGTGTAGCGTAGAGATTTTTGGTAGCAAACCACTTTCACACTCCTTTAAATAAACTTTGCTCGATTTAACTCTCCTGTAGCTTCACCCTTAGGTGTCACCGAACAGTAATGCAAATATTTCGAGAAATGAAGGCAAGCGCTGGCAGAGATTGCGCAAGAAATTTCAAATCGAACAAAACGTATTGAAAGCGGTTTCACTTCTATTTCTGATAGCGTTTGTTGTATGCCTTAATTGTATTGGTATTAATTTTGTTAAGGTGTGTACTGTGTTTCAATCAAGGCGTCACACACTCCACAGGTTCTCGCACATTACTTTACTTTCAGTTCTCACACATTACTTTGTTTTCAGTTCCGCGGAAAAGTCTCAGAATCTAAGTTCGTTCAAATTACAAACCGTTTTTTCACCTATTTTGAAAATGGTCAAACTGCCTTCTTTGTGTTCTGCAAATCGCGTCATCAATAAATGAAAAACAATAAGTATTTTCTTCTTTTTTCGTAGAATTGCCAGTTCCAAACACATGCCACACAATCTGTGATCGTTAAACATTTGGCTTAAAAGACTAGAAATCTGCTGCAGAACTTGACGCCTGATTTTTAAATGAGGAAATACAAAAGTACTGGATTATTGAAAGAAGCTCGCAATCACTATTCAACTCTTCTCGTGAATCCCTAGACTACCATTAAACCTTCTATTTCAGCGTAAACTGTCGTGCCGATCTGTAGAAATATCCGGGCGCCGTATGGACTCTGAGAGAGCGAAGCCTCACTGACTTTTATGAATCTTCCGCGAGGGACTGCTCATAGTCTAGCTATTCTTCGCCCTTCTCAAATGTCCCACCCCTCCCCTGCCCTACCGGAAGTGCGCAGTGCCTTACATCCCCAGCCTTTCCCCCTCTCCTCTTCACCGCTCCTCTCCTAGTTTTTATATCCAGTTTTCCCTGCAATTCGCATTACGAAAAGTTCAATCAATAAACCAATCGGGATTACTTGGTACAAATTCTAGCTTCCTCCCCTTCCCTCACGTGCCCCTGCTGGCACGTGATATGATTCTCTCACGTGCCCCTGCTGGCACGTGATATGATTCTCTCACGTGCCCCTGCTGGCACGTGATATGATTCTCTCACGTGCCCCTGCTGGCTATTGCGTCTCTTATTTGTCGATCTAGTTCAACTATAATCCGATCATCAGTGGTGTAAACTCCAGTATGTAACAACGTGTCTCTTTCCTCGATCAGTTTTGCTATCCTGCTGTCTATGTCTTCCTCGTCATGTTCATGAACAGATGTGAGTCCAGGTGAATGCTTAACGCTTCTTCTTAGTGAAGAATTGGCATCTGATTTTCTTCCCTGTCCTTCAGTTGGCGCTTCATTCACCCGAGCTTTCGCCTCTTCCTGCTGTTTCAGTCTGTTGTAGAGAAGGAAGGGACACCCATGAACTCATGAGGTCAATCAGAGCATATTGAACATTTTTAACCACAGCATTTGACAACGACAATAAAACTAAAACACCCACTGCTCACCTGGCTAGTTCAAGTTTAATTTCTTCCAGTTCCTCTTTCTCAGATTTAACAACCTATATGGTTAAAGAAATTCAATGATAAAACAAAAACAGCGCTATCAATAAATTTAAAAAAGTACTCATAAGACCTAAAGTAAAGATACTGTCACAAGGTGTGGTAGGCGCACACAGTATGTACCTCCTTCTCCTCAGCGGCAAGATAACGCAGGCGCATGTGTTCCAGCTCTTGCTCTTGTTTTTTTAGCCGCGCTCTGGCAGCTGTCTGCTCTTGCTGTTTCAGTCGCGCCAGTTCCCTCAGCGCTCGGCCCCACTGCTGCTTGTAGTGGATCTTTGACTTGTTCGCAGTTTCTAACTTACGTTCAAGTTCCGTCTGTTGGGGAAAAGATGAGTTATAGCGGTTAAAACAGACTTTTTTCATTTAGTTCAATAATTCAACGGTTTTCTTCAGAGGATAAAAGAAAAGAAATAAATCAACAACATATAAACGTTCGTAATAACAGTTTTACCTTTTCCATTCTTAAAAGATTTATTTCAGACTCGAGTTTCACTTCAGGTTTTGTCAGCTGCTGTTCCTTGTAAGCCATAAACTCATTCTCCTTTGCTTGATATCGTTTCTCTGCTTCGTAAACCTGAACAAAATAGTAATGGATTAATTCCAAGAAACAGAACTAGCAACTACTTTGGAGAAGGATGTTACTTACCTGCTCCACTAGTCTCTGTTTCTGTTCTTCCAGGCCCTTGACTTTCATCCTTGAAACAAAATTACTCACATCAAAGTCTGTGACTTTGGCTGCACAAGGAGCTCGCAACAAGTGCAATAAAAATGCAATCTTGTGGTCGAATTTCAAGACTATTTCCGTAAGAATGTGCGCCTTTTTTTTTCCTAATGCATACGAATACACGCTGGGAGAGAGAAACGTAACAAAACCTTAATTACCACTATATTGTAATCACTGTGAAAAAGAGTACAATCACCTTTTAACCATAGAAGTTTCAACTCTTAAAGCATCTTTCACTAAACACTCGGAGTGAAATGGCATTTTTTCAGGGAAGGAACAAACAGAGATTTTTTGAAGGTCTCAGGGGGAAGCAAAATACTATGACCTCTAACAACAACAATGTCAACTGCACTTACAACGATGAAAACTCGATGCATCCCCCCCCCCTCCATTCCATCCGAAAACACGCTTCGAGCATGTAGCACTCTTATCAAAAATACGCTGTACAGCAATGCCGGCTCAAAGCAATGGTTAAACATCAATCAATAGTATCACGAAACCTCTCCATTTCTACTTGATGTGAGCAGTCATCTTTCAGTCTCCGCGCAGCTTCTCTCATTTCTGTCGTCCTTCGTTCGTGTTCTCGTTCTAGTTCTTCCTTCATGTGCATCACCTACGGAACCATTATATTGAATTTTAAAAATGTTGCCCATCAACTATTTCGTGGCGATCCAAAGCGGTAGACGTCTAATGCTTCCCATTCTGACAAGTCCCGCTTACTTTTGCTTTGTTATCGAGTTCCGTGTACTTAAAGATTGCATCATATGATCCATAAACCCAGTATTAGCAGACAAAAGTTGAGTCTTACGTTTTTTTGAAAGCTTTTAAAACAAAAGTGAAGCAATATTCACATGAGATGAAGGCAGAATCTTACAATCGTCTTGCAAACTCTCTCACAAACCTGAGCCTCATTTGTGGACAGCAGTTTTTCTCGCCTTTCCAGGTCAGCGATGGACTGTTTGATCTTGTCTTCCAATCTTGAATATTCTTCCAGCTAAAAATTTCATTGAGAAAAATAAATTTCAAAAGTCATCCCAACAAGCTATATATCAAACACAAAAACAGATTTCTAAATTAACAAAATGAGGTTTCTGCTCCACCTTTTTCTTAACCATCAGTTCACGCTCTTTGTCGCGTCTTTTCCATTCCTCAGCAAGAGCTTTCATGTGCGAGTTTTCTCGATCTTGCATCTGTTTTGGCAGAAAGGAAAGATATTAAAGACAGACAGAGGAAGCAATTTTACAAGCTCTCTTTATTAGGGGATGAAAAATCCCCTAGTGCTAATAGGTAGCATTATCATATTTCTTTATCTTGGCAAAATATAAAAAAACAAATCAGACCATTGACTCAACGGCTTACTTTTGTTTACTCTATTCAATAGTGTTTTTATGGAAAAAGATAAGGGCGTCGTACACTTTACAGGATATCATAGGAAATCAGTTTGACAATGGTCTTATTCATTCCTCGTCAAAGGTTCTTCAGCTAGAGCACCATTCTTCCATCACAAAGTTGAGCTTCACCTGTGCTTGAAACATCTCTTCCTGTTGCTCTTTCCAAAGTTCCAGTTCTAGGGCGGTCTTGTACTCTGCTGTATCACGTGGGTCGGTAACAGGAGGAGGCTTGGGCTGAGCGGGTGGAACACGCTGCGGCTCAGAGAGAGGAATGGCACTAGATGTCTGGCTGCTTTCAAGTGAAGAGGAAAGACTGTACTAAAATATGAAAAAGGAAAACGTTCGTTAAACAAATTTCATTTTGATTTTCACGAAGCTTAGTTCTTTCTGATCACACCTAATTCGCATCCTTTAAGAGTTCTACATCATATCTTTGTAGGATTTTCGTCCTGCTGAGTTTCAGTCATAAACTTCCTCACCCTCCTGTCTCCGTAGAAGCCACCCACCCACCCAATGTTAACTGTTTTTATGAAATATGGGGACCGGGGGGATCTTGGAGGACTTTGGTTGTGTCCAAATAACATTCACTTGATTCCCCCATAACATCTTACAACATCTATATGCCCCACCCCTTTTACCATTGACAGTTAATTGGCAGTCTATTTTCTTGAGTCCCCCTTTATACTTTCTTGGCGATAACTCATTCTCCATAAAAATCATGTGATCTCCCTCAAAATTCAAAATTACCACAAAGGAGATAAATAATGAAAAGTTTCTGAGACTTCTGTCGCTAATATACTGTGCCAATACTTTTCAAATATTTTGACCGTAATCTTCACGGCGTAGTCACAACTTGTGCAAAATATATAGCTTTAGCTTATAATACACTGACAGTGTCACTAAAACCAAGTAAAGAAGATTCTATATCGTGAAGCAAAATATCTTACTTCAATTTTCGAGTATTCATTACGAAAAAGTCACAAAAACATTTATAAAGAGAACTTTGTTACTAACCACAAAAAAACAAGTGAAGAACTCTCCGAGTTTTGGAGCGCAACGTTTACCAAGCGCACAGCAGTAGTTATCTTGACATTCAGCCTCGGAACTGCACCTCTATGAAAATGCAACATGGCGTAAATAAAAA